AAGAATTTTAAATGTAAATACTTCTCAGCATTTTAAAAATTCAATCTAATGAAAATAAGGCAATAAAAATAAGCATATGATAAACTAAGTATAAATATAAGAAGTGTATAAATATATATATATATATAAGAAGTAGTAAAATTTTCCTTACATAAAAAAATTTTCCTTACACTTCTTATATATATATATATAAGAAGTGTAAGGAAAATTTTTGACTAAAAGATTTTATCATTTAAATGACTTAATAAGTATTAATAAAGTTGTCATACTAATTTTTTAAAATTGCTAGTGGTCTTGCAGAAAAATTTTTTATCAATTTGATAACTTTCATAAATGTTATAAAAAATCACTCAGGAAGAGTGAACCCACCAGCTATCTAAAATTCCCTTTATTAATTACTTTTAATTAAATTACTTTTAATGAATGCTTTTGCAATTCTTTTGTTATGTAGCTAAAAAATGTAACTCCTAATAATAGATATAAAAAGTCCACAATAATAATTGCTTGGTAACATAAGCGAAGTAACATAAGTTTATTTGTCTCGGTCACCTCTGATCATTTTTTATATATATTTTTAATTGGTTTAGAATTCTCAATATCGTGTGAAAATTTTCACATTATACTATAGCATATAAAGATAGGAAAAACTAGTAACTAATTGTTACTAGTTTTTCCTACCTTTATATCATACTGCATTCTCAGAAAAAGATAAAAAAAAGATTGCTGCCTCATGCCAAACCTTCAGATGATGTAGTAGCACTCTTTTGCAGTAGCAAGCTATATAATAGCAGGCTATAAAAGATCTGAAATTGCATAACAACTTTACACATTCAAATGAATATACTAAAACTAAACTGTCCTTTTACTCTCAACATCCACATACTTTATACTGAAAAGGTATTGCTGTAATAAATACTTAAAAACACAAACCTTGACAATTAAATCTGCTGCAATGAAAAACAAGTTTAGTGGCGTGTGGCCAGGGACAGAGAGGATCAAGCTTGTAACTTCTTGCTTAAAAAGTGCTTGATAAATAAAACAATTTATGCAAACAAGTCATGGTTAGCAAAGATCCTGATAATTCCAACCTAGCTGACTCAAGAAAATTCATTTATATGGGGTGTACACATCAAGGTACACTGTGGTACTAATTTTGAAATCTTTTTTCCGTGGAAAATTGTCCACGGAAAATAACTTAATTTGAATGTTCACATGTGAACTTTAACTTTATAGTAAAATTTAACTTTATAGTGCAACAATAAAAACACCTGTAGAACCTATATATTATTTGATAAAAATTGGTGCAAATGCAGCGTATGGCCACACTAAACTCTATATAAAATTTCAATTGGATTTTTACTTGTTATGGATTTATGGCAGTTTTAGTATATATATATATATTTAGTTTTTTTACTACTTAGTACTTAGACCTCAAAATGATACCGCTTACTGTGATATTCGATATTTTCAAAATAAAGGTTACATGAGTGTTCTTCTATGTAATATCAACAATTTTTATTATAATTTTTTTTATTGCTACATGTACCATTTTTATTCTATAGACAAAAATATTGATATGGTATTTAAAGCGTGGTTTGAATTGGCTTATGCATAGTGTAAATATCTCAACATTTCCTAAAGTAAAAACTTCTGCTAAAATTGAAAAAAAAAAAGTGCAAAACCATGCAAAAGGGCTATCAGTTAGTAAAAAAAAAAAATTTCTGTTAAAAGAATTTTTATTGACCCTTAAAATCTTCTTAAATACATTGACTTTTTAAATGATGTGAAAAACTAACTATATAAACCCTATTTTTGGCATTATATTACCATTAAATAGCATCTGATTAAATTGTAAGACATGATCTTTGATTTTCTCCACAAACAAATTTGTTCAAAATAGCCTAATATACTGTTTTAGTGAAATACTCTTCAATATTTTTACATTAAAATTCGTAATTACTAACAGCAGTTAAGGATTAAAATGGTGAAATTTTTTATTATAAACCGTAAGCTATGATTTTCTGCTGCCTAAATAAATAAATATAATTGTGGTAACAATTCTTTAAAGATGCTTAATGTTCAGATCAGTTTTGCAGCATAACAATCTTACTTTATACTCTGGATGGTTATTGCTTCGTTTATACCTTGACCAATGTTTGTAGAAGTCTTAATGTTTCAACTTTGACCAATTTTTGTCTTGATGTTTCAACAGTTATCATTAAGTAACACCTTTTAAAATTTTTAAACTATTTCAGCAAAATCTGGCTGAAGGATGAATCTAAAGCAAGCTTTTACAGCTAAGTTAAAACATTTTAATGATTCAGTTATGTCTTATGTTAAGTTGTTAGGAACTGAGTTTGTATCAGCAAGTTGCTGGAGCACATCCACATTTTTTAGAAGCTTCCTGCATTCATATCCCTCAAATTAGCCCCCATGATACGGGCTCAGTTGAGTATGGAAGGCAGCTGGCCACTTAACAGCTTTTATCGCAATAACCCAAACTGTGCAAGAATCTCAGTATGTAGTTTTAATGTCACTGCAGGTGAAAAAATCACTCAAGTGTAACACTCAAAAAAGATCACTCAAGTGTTGATCTTTGTCTCATACAGTTGGCATATGTATTCTACTTGGAAAGCAGTAAACTGTCTTAAACATTTTTTCAGACAGATCTATGTAAAAGTGATTAGTTTGATTACTAAATCAAACTAATCATTTTTACATAGTTTACCCTGAATTTATATTGGATAATAATTCATTAACATACCTACAAATATTATTAATTGCAAACAATTAAAATCAAAGAAATAATTTCTTTGATTTCAAGGAAATGATACTTTCTCCTTTAAAGGAAATAATTATTTAAATTAATGACAATTTAGATGAGATTTTTATTAGATGACACATTTATGCAAAAGATTTCATAAGACTATTCGCAGATTTTGCAGATTTTCTACATAGAGGGACATTTTAAAATAACTATCTTTGTGTAAATGAAATAGATAGAGAGTCAATTTTCATTTAGTCGTGGATCTAAGCATTGACTTAAAAGCAAGCTTTGGATAACAATTTTAGAAACTTTATAAACACTCTACTAGTTTTTTGATTCCTGCATCAAATATTTCAATTAGAAAGTAACTAACAACTCTTCAACACAACTTAATTATATAACAACTTCCAATTAGCCGACTTTACATACATAATAATCAATACTGATTTTTTTAGACCATTTCCCAACTTTCTGAAATAATATTAAAACAACAATTAACACTAATTATATATCTTTTATAGTTAATATAAAAGCCCTCTAGACTTTTTATGTGTCAATTATTTTATCAGCTGAATTTTTTTTTTTTTTTTTATGCAGGTATCTTTATAAAACCTTTTCAACCATTTTTAAACATTTTCACGCATTTTGACAAAGGTTTATACCTTAAAAAATGCTGATATTTTCACGCAACGCGTAAGCCAAGTCAAACCACGCTTTAAATAGTGAATCAATATTTTGGTCTATAAAATGAAAAATAATAAATACTTTTAATTAAATACATTAAAACTCAGTTGATGTTTATTTGTTTATATCCAATAATATTTATTTAGATTTATGTTTTTTCTAATGTCTATTTCTAAGTTTCTAACAATTCTATTTTTTGTTCAATTTTTTTTTTGTTAAATTTTTTTTTTGTCTGAATATTAATCCTGTGTCATTTTTGAAATAAAATTTTTTGCGTTACGCGTTGGAATGGAAAAATGGCTTACGCGTTGGAATGGAAAAAGCATAATAAGTTTGTAAAAGTTTACTTTTTTGTAATTTGTAAATGATTTGTAGTAGTAATATATCTTAATATAAAATTTTATACAGAATTGATGTTAAAACTTTTTATTAAAAATCATTTTGCATATTAGTTTCAGATTTGTTTTTAAATTTTAGTAAATGTTCTGGAAATTAGAAAATTTTATCATTAAATGTTTGGAATTTCCATTTTTAAAATGATTATAATTTTTTTGTAGTGAATGATTGCCAAGTTACATCAGCCCCCATATTTTCAATTACCAAACCCAGTGGTTTTCCAGCTTATAAAGATAAGTTTTACATAGCCATTTTTGTAGCTTTAAGTGTAATTTTCGCTCTTGCTGGTGTGTGGTGTTATATAAGGATCAAAGGCAAATTTAATTTTTATAAACAGAGTAAAGCACTAGTTCCTCTATGTGGTATGTATGTTTTGTTTCTTTTTATTTCTTTCTTTTGATTATTTTATTGAAATTAAAAGATCAGGCCTTGTTAAGAAGCGTTACGCAGCTTGCATTTTGCCTACGAAATAGCGATTTGCCTACGCGTTCAGCAGTTATGCGTTACGCAAAAACTTTAATCTTTAAAAATATTTAAATTATCTTTTTATATCGTTTATGTGACGTTCATTCAGAAGTATTAAAGTCGTAAGTAAAAGCATTTAACCGCAATTGTAAACTAATAGATTTTTTGTTAAAGAAACAATTTGTTTAATAATATTTAATTTTAAATATTAGATTTCATAAGTTTATAAACAATCAAATTTAAAAAAAGAAATATTTTCAATTTATTTTATTAAATTTAAATATTTTTTTAATAATTATAGTTTTTAGTAAATAAATTTATTAAATTTAATTAAAATTCTTTCATTTAATTTTAAAACAGAGCATTTTTAAATTTTTCAATTTTAAAATGCTCCGTTTTTTTTATAATTACCAAAGTAAAAAAAGATTTGATAAATTTAAATTAAGTTACTTTAAAATGTTCGTATTACATATAACTTTATTTTAATTTTAGTTAAGTTTCAGGTCAGTTCCAAATACTGGTCTGAAAGATGCGCTTACAAAAGCGCATTATTTTCCAGTTTTTATTTTTCCATTATTTTACAGTTTCATTCATTATTTACAGAAGCGCATTATTCATTTTATAACTACAAGTTAATAAATGACGTCAATACTTTTAAACTCGAGTTTGTTTGGGTTTTCCCTTTGCCGTTTGCCAAAGAATTTTTTTTTATAAAACAAACTAAGGACGTATTAACAATACGTCCTTGAACAAACTAAAATACAAACCTATTAAAAATAACGTGATCAGTAAATAAACTTTTTAAAAACCCAACTTATCTTTATTTTATTACTTGAGCTATAAATATAAGATACATAAATTTCAAAATTATAATGATATTTGTTAAAAACAAATTCTGCTTATAACATCTGAAAACCGAAAACACTATTTTTTTTTTGGATTGAGAAAAAAAAAATTAGGTTTTACTGTACATAAAAATAAATCAGTTTAATGGAAATAAAAAAAAACAGCCGAAAAAGCAGTAAATTTCGTTTCTTTACAACATTTATTTTATCTTAACAAACGTTTTTTTTTTAAAGGGAAAACCCAATCTATGCGTTTAGTTATAAGTACATTTAAATCCCTTTAAGAAAATCAACCATAAACAAGTGTTAAATTTAAATTATTTAAAAAAAAAATTAAAAAAAACAACCTTAAAACGAATGTTTAAAAGCAAAAAAATTAAGTTTAAATAAGTATAAGATTTTAATACAAGAAGACTTTTTTTTAACCAACACTGAAATTTTTTTTTTATAAAAACATTGTACAATTTAAAGCTATTTCGTTTCAAAGAATAACAATAGTTTTTATTGTCATTTTAAATTTAATTACAATTAAGTAAAAACGCAACTGACGTAAATTAACTTTTAACAATGTAAATATCTTTATTGAGTAAAGTTACATCTATTCACGTTCAGCTTTTCCGTTACGCAGCGAAATCTCATAACAAGGCCTGAAAGATATACATTATTATACATATAATATTTTATTGTAATTGATAATAGTGATAATAAGGTATAGCTGTAACAACTGGTTTTAATAGTTGTAAAGTGCAATAAGGGTAGATATTGCATTGTAACATTTTTGAAGTAGCTTCTACTATTTCAGATGGTTAGTTATTCCATGTATTTACAACTTGATTTTGGAAATAGTGATATCTGAAGGTGTTTTTGTAAAAAAGTTTTTTCATTTTGAATTTGTGTTGGCGTAAATACGGACCTTCATTTGATATGTTTTGATAATTGTTTGTAATCCAATTTGTTTTATCATGGCCATGTTGAATTTTAAAATGTTGAATAAAATCTCCACGTAGTCTACGTTCTTTTAGAGTCGTTAGTTGCATAATATTTAATCTAGCTTCATAAGGTAATTTTTTAATTGTAGGTGCTAGTTTGGTTGTTCTTTTTTGGATCATCTCAATTTTATCTATATCTTGTTGTAGGAATGGAGATCATGCTTGGACCGCAAACTCAAGATTTGGACGGATGAATGTTGTATAGAGCTTTTTTACTATGTTTACTTCTAAATATTTAAATGTTCTCTTTATGATACCTAACATTCTGTTGGTTTTTCTAGTTACTGAATCAACTTGTGAGTGCCATTTTAGATCTGATTAAACCATTATACATAAGTCACTTTCAGCTTCTGTGTTACATAATGTATAATTGTAATTGCAATCTAATATAAATGTAGAATTATAATGATTTATATATTTGGATTTTTTACTCAATATGCATAATTTTGCATTTTTTTAAATTAAATTTTGTGAGCCAGGTATATGACCAGGCCGTTATACTATTTATTTCACTTTGAAGGTTGAATCATTTGGATTTTTCATATTTATTATTTTACTATCATCAGCATAAAGTTTGATAGGGTTTTTGACTTAATCTGATAAATCATTAATGAAAATCAAAAACAGCAGTGGTCCTAAAACTGATCCCTGTGGTACATCACTGATAACTGGTAGCCAATCTGAGAAAGTGTCACTGAGGATCACTCTCTGTTTTCTGTTAATTAAATAGTTATCTATCCATCTTAGGTAATTTCTCACGATACCATATGATTTAAGTTTAGTGATCAATAGAGAGTGTGGTACTTTACCAAAAGCCTTTTCAAAGTCTAGATATAACATATCAGCTGTGTGGCCAGTTTCTAGTGCATCTGTTATGATATCAAGAGTTTCCAATAGGTTTGTTGTGCAGTTTTTATTTTTTCTGAAACCATGCTGATTTTCATTTAATAAGCTGTTTTTTGTTAGACAATCTATAATTTTATCTCGAATGATTGATTCTAAAAAATTTAGATGGGATAGAGTTCAATGAGATTGGCCCGTAATTAGATGCATTGTTTGTATTACCTTATTTAAAAATCAGGGTTGTATTTGCTGATTTCCAGAGTTCAGGTAATCATTTCTCAGTCAACGATTTTTTATATATTAAATTTAATGGTTCACAGAGAATACTATGACATTTACTTAAGACATATGGGCTTATCCCATCTTCTCCAACAGTTATATAAATATCTTATTTTTTAAATTTATTTTCAATAGTATGGCGAGTTATTATATTGTTTATATCTACTTCTAGAATAATTTTAGTTTTCTGCAGCATATTTGGTATGTTATGCTTATCTTCGTTAACAAAAACTGAAGTGAAGCTATTGTTTAAAATATTTACTATAGATTCTCTATTTGTTACAGTGTTATCAAATTCATCATACATTGAAACTATTCCTCCTTTACCTTTTGTTAGAATTAGCATAAATGTAAAATAATGCGGGGTCTTTTTTTGATGTTTCACTTATCCTTTTTTTGTATTCAATACATTTTAACCTTACCATATTTTTAACCAGTTTACTTTGTATTTTGTATTGTTGAACCAAAATGTGTGACTTGGATTTATTTGATATTATTTTGTTCCATAAGGTTGTTTTATGTCTGATTTCAGTCTTCATTTTTTGTCAATTCATGGTTTTAAAGCCATGTGTTTATGGACTTTTTTAGGTATATAACTCTAAGATAATTTGTGATATTATTTACTAAGATTTTGTAATATTCATCAACATTTTTATTAAAGAAAAGATGTGATCATTTTAGACTATGGAATGAATTGTTCATTTCTTGATAATTTCCAGCTTTGTAGTTAAACTTTGATTTCCCAAAGGAAGTTTTTGATGTAGTTGGTTTTTTTAAGATGTAATTCCAATACAATATCTGATGAGCATTATTTGAATTGCTCAACAGAGGATTATAACCTATGATAGGGATACGCTCTGGTGCATCAGTTAAAATCAAATATAAAGTATTGCCCTCTGACAGAATGCCTGAATTAAATGTTGGTTCTGAGGCGTTTTAAGTAAAAAAGTTTTTATTTAAATTTTTTAAAAATATTTGTGCCTGTCTATCATCCTTTAACACTGTTTGGATATTTTCATCATCCCATTTTATTTTTGGGTAATTGAAGTGTCCGGCCAAGAGTAAACCTGAATATTTGTTGCAATCTGCACTTTTTTTTTGCAATATTTATTATTTTATTGATTTTTTGATTTGTAAGTACTGTAGCATCAGGTGGGCTAACCACCAATTAGGATATTCTCATTTTCTGTTTTAATGACACACCAGACTTGTTCAACTGTCATCTTCAAATGCTACTTCACAAGGAGTATAAGCTATGTACTTATTTTTAACATAGGTAGTTACTCCTCCACCATGACATTTAGTTGAGTTAGCTTTAGATCGATTGTTGTGAAAAACATTGTACCCATTTACATTTATGGTACTTGATAAGTTAAACCAAGTTTCCGTTACAATAAATATGTAAGGATTATACACTGCTATTTCTAACATAAACAAACCAAATTTATTGTTTAGTGATGTTGCGTTTGTATATCTACAACATAGATGATATTTGGGTATTAAAACCTTAAATTTAGGTATTGATTTGCATAACAATACTTTTGATTTAACATAATTAGATACAGGATTACATGTTGAAGAGACAGTCAATACTGAAGGTTGATACAAATAAAATGATGATTGCTATTGATTTGATTTTTTTATGAGTTTAACAATTTTGAAATTTTTTATAGTGTAGTAGTATTCATTGCTTTGATTTAGGCTAGCATTTAACAATTTAACTTATTTATGTAACTGTTTACTGAGATCTCTTTCTGATTCTATCATACCTGAGTTAAAATATATGTTGTTTACCTTGTTTCTGTTAATGTATGCAGCTTTTAATACACTTATTTTGTCTTACACATTGTCTAACTCAATAATAACTGGTGATGATGATGACTGGTGGTATTTTTAAAGTGTCTCTTGTTTTGAGTCTGATTACTTATTTTATTTTATCTTTGTCTGCATTTATTGAGTCAAAAATCTCTTACCATATCTTTAATGGATTTTATCTTGTCGATATTATCATGATTTACTGATTTAACACCATATATAATAGTTTTATTTTTTCTTTTTACTCACGTAAAATCGTGTTTATTATATCATTTTGGTCTTGATTAGCTTTAACTCTTTTTATGACTTTACTCCAGTTATTTAGATCTTTTGATTTATCTTGGCATAATTTATTTTCTAATTCATTTCTTTCTTCAAGATTATTCATCAAAACATCTTTTTCGTTTTTTGTTTTTTTTTTCCTAATTGCTTGATTTTTTCTTTGATTTCTTGTTGTAACATTTATGTCTAATTTTTTGGCATTTTAAGAGTGAAACCAAACCAAATCAACTCTCATCAATAACCAACTTCAAATTCTTTGTTAGTAGGTCCACTTATACTATATAAGTTAACTAAAGTCCACTTATACTATATAATAAATTAAGAAATAAATGTTGATAAAATTTGTTCAATGTAAATTTTGAATGTGTGAAAAAAGTTTAAAACTTTTTTTTAATTGTTATTTAGAAAAAAAAGAGAAACTTGTCTACATTTCTCACTGTGCAACATCAAATAAAGATATTGAAAAAGTATTGCGTTTAGCAGAGCAACTTCATTCAATTTCAAATGTTCAGGTTTGTATTGATCTATGTAATCAAAATGAAATTATTGATTGTGGAGGTCTGTCACTATGGATACCAGAACATCTAGGTATTGCTGATAAAATCATCATGGTTTTTTCGCCTTCTTACTTAGAGGTTGTTTTTTTATTATTTTTTTGTTTTTATTATGTTCATTGATTTCTTTATAATAAATTTATTTTCTAATTTAAAATTTTCTATTTTATTTAAAAAAAAAAAAAAAATTTTAACTATTGTTTCTCAATCATTCTTAAGTTATTAACATATATTAAGTTAAGTTATTAACATATATATAAAACTATTTTTTAAAATTTTATAACAAGGTTCATAAAACATTAAAAAAAATTAGTTTTTATAAAGTAGCATATAAATAAGTACATTAAAAAAAATTAATTTATGAAACAGTATAAATTTATATTTATATATGTTTGTGTGTATCTTTGAATGGTACAAAAAAGTTGCTCCACCATAAGCATATATAAGGATGGGAATTTTTTACATATTTTTCATAAAATCAATTTGCCCTATCACTACCAGTGGAGAATTATTATAAAAAGTATTTTAAAAATAATTTTAACCGTAACAGGTTCAAAAACCTTCTTCGCATACTCGTTTTTTCAAAGATCAAGTATTCAAGTTATTAAATCAAGTTGCAACAGATTGAAGTCTTGTTTGACAGATTGATGTCTTGTTTTTTAAAAGGAATGACCTATATAAACTATAATATTTAATAAAAAAACAAAATAACAAATTTACATAAGGCTGAAAATTCCTTACAAACAGTGGTGTGGCTAGATGGTACCTCCTCCCTCTGACTTGTCATTAGGGTGTTCAAAAGATTGATGTCTTGTTTTTTAAAAGGAATGACCTATATAAACTATAATATTAAATAAAAAAACAAAATAACAAATTTACATAAGGCTAAAAATACCTTACAAACAGTGGTGTGGCTAGAGGGTGCCTCCTCCCTCTGACTTGTCATTAGGGTGTTCAAAATCTTTAAAATTTTCTATTACTAGGTGTATTACTAAAAAAAAAATCTTATATTTGAAAAAGGAACTCTAAATTTGAAAAATGCCTGTAAATTTGCAGGTCCTGAAAATTGTCTAGCGTGGCCAGCCTCCATGCTCATAAATTAAGCATAAAAGTCAATGTAACTTAGGGTAAAGATATTGTTTGTTGAGTTCTAAATTTTTAGTTATAAGTCTTTGAAAATTGGGTCCTGGCAGTAACTATAGTTCAAACACTAAATTATTTTATTACAATAACACACGTAGGCAGAAATTTGGCCCCTAAGTTGATGATGTTTCTTTGAAAACGTAATTTAACTTTTGCAAGAGACATTTTGCACACTTCATTTATGTAATAAATGTCTAATGGACAATAATTCCAAATATCACAGTGTCTTTTCCAACATTCTAGGCAGTTACCAGTTAATGCCAATTTTAATTTCGTTAAATCGTTAACATTTCTTCTGCAAGAGAACCATGGCTTGGCCCAGTGATCTACAATAAAATTTCACACCTCTATTATTGATTCTCTTTTTTGTTTGAATCAAAAGCATATATTTCAAGCAATAGATAACTCTTGAATTCCATCGTGCATTTGAAGTAAGTCTTGATTTAGAAAAATAAATCTCTAATAAATTCATTGTGTTTTCATAAGACTTGCATCCTTTACATAACAAATCCAGCTCCATATAATCATTCCTTCCATATTTTTTACTTTTAATAACTGGCCCATTAGGCCTGTATTTTTCAATTAAATCATGATAGTTACTAATCAACTCATTAATAAACCAGTAATTAATATTACTAGGCAAAGTTGATAAGGAATCAAATTTTGAACTAAAATAAAATGTTTAAGAATCAGGTTGAGAACATGAAGTCAACAAAGAAGATGATATGCTTATCTGGTAATTGCCTTGAGTGTTTGAAAGACACTGTGATATTTGGAATGATTGTCCATTAGACATTGATTACACAAATGAAGTGTATAAAAAGTTTTTTAAATTTAGGGTTTTTTTTCCCAAATACAAGGGGTTTTTTTAGTAGTAATAGAAGATTTTTAAGATTTTAAGGTCCTAATAACAATTTTGAGGGGGAGGGGGCTCTGACCCAAAAGCCACAGCTTTGTTTCCTAAGATAATTTCAGCCCTATTTAAATTAATTGCTCTGTTATTTTTAACTAATAATTTAGTTTCTAATGGTTTCTTTTTAAAAACAAGACTTTTCAATCTGTCGCAACAGTTGATTTTTGAAAAATATATAAATATTTCAAAAAATGAGTTTATACAGAAGGTTTTTGAATCTATCACAGTTAAAATTATTTTTAGAATAATTTTTATAATATTTCTACACTGGTAATAATAGGCCAATTGATTTTGAGAAAAAAATGTAAAAAATTTCCATCCCTAATGTACATTTACAAAAGTTGTTTTTCTTAATTAGTAAAATAAACTTGCTTTGTTGTAATTTATTTTACTGTGGTACTCTAAAAAAGTTAAATTTCCTTAAATAATAAAATCAAGATAATTTTATGACGTCAAAATCACAAAGAGCTAATCAGCTTAGCTGTTTTTTATTTAAAACAAGGCCTACAATATATGAGGCAGTTTCATAGCTACATTAATTGATAGTCTAAAACTATTTTTAAAAAATTAACTTAAAATGTTTTGTGATTTGTGGGTTTTCCTGCTCACAAATCATTAAACCTGAAAATTGTCTTCCTACTTTACTAGATAGTCTAAATCCAACAAATCAATAAATTGATTCAAACCAGTACTCTTCCTTCTTTCCTATATTGCCTGGATCCAACAACGTGAAAATATCCCTCTTTCTTCTCTTACTAGATGGTCTGGATCTACCCCTGCTAATATAGGGCAAGTTGGTTTAATCAAAAAATCTATATCAAGTCTATAAAATCTTAGTTTATTTCAGTCTCAAAATGTTATATTCTCATAACATGTCTGATATAATTATTTCATCACTCATTATTGACTTAGTCAATAATGAGTGACTACCTCTTACCTTCAACAATATCTTCCCAAAAAATGAAAATAACCGTTACTATCTTTGATCAATTGATAATCTGAATCTAATAATATTAGAAAACGATAAGGGAAAAAGAAGAATAATGAATGAAAAGGTTGCTGACCCATACCAAACCCTCAGTCGATTTAGCAGCACTCTGATGCGAGTCAGGCTAGCAGTCTTAAAACATCGTTCTGTTGCTTATGGATATAAATCCATAAAAAACCAAAGTATGAAGTCTTGGAATAATCTTTCCTATGACCTAAAAGCTCTCTATTCAATCTATGTTTTTAAGAGTAACCTATTCCATTCCTTCCTAATCAAATACATTTAATAAATCCAAAGATATGTAAATGGGTTTAAGTGTTTGTGATAAGCGCATGTGTGTTTGTCTGTATGTATATATATATTTATGTTTGTATGCAAATATATGTGTAGGTGTATATACATATATACATATATAATACACATAAATAATATTATTAAATGTGTGTATTTGTATTTATAATTGTATATGTGTATATATATGTATGTGTTTATGTATGTGTGTGTATGTATATGTACGTGTGTGTATATGCGTATTTGTGTATAGATTATATGAATTCAGATATATGGGTGTATATTATGTTTGTATACAATTAATGTATACATACCTGTATTGAATGCAGAAGGATATAAGTATATGTGTTTATTAGGGTGTCCCAAAAAACAACATTTTTGAAAATAATCTGCTCTCACCCCCTAAATGTGTTCTATCTAATACAAAAACACTAAGTTTAAATTTTTTTCGAGTAAAAAATATTTTAAGGGGTCCCTCAAGACCCTCGAATATTTAATGGGTCCCTAATATTTTCGAAAAAAAAGTTTTTTGGAAATATGTCAACCTGGTACTCAAATGAAGCGAAATTATATAAAAATTTTTAAAAAAATATTCATTTCGAAACAAAATTGTTATTTTTGGTTTTATTACATAAAAAATTGCGTTTTTTAAGAAAAAATGAAAAAAATGCATTTCTTATGTTTTTTTATGATAATTTTGATAATTAAGTTAAAAATATTTCGAAATAAATATTATTTTTGAAATATTTATATAATTTCGCTTCATTTGAGTACCAGGTTGACATATTTTTGAAAAACTTTTTTTTCGAAAATATAAGGGACCCAAAAAATATTTTAAGGGGTCTTGAGGGACCCCTTAAAATATTTTTTATTCAAAAAAAATTTAAACCTAGTGTTTTTGTATTAGATAGAACACATTTAGAGGGTGAGAGCAGATTATTTTCAAAAATGTTGTTTTTTGGGACACCCTAGTGTTTATATCTATTTGTGAATGTAAGTGCGTATGTGTGTTTGTGTGTATGTGTGTTTGTGTGTATGCGTGTTTGTGTGTGTTTGTATGTGTCTGTATATGTGTGTATGTGTGTGACTAATACTAAATTACTATTATTTTTTTTTATGACCATTGTAATTATTTTTATTTCTGTCATTTTATTTTTGCTATTATCATTTTACTTTTATCATTGCATTGTTATTATTGTTATAACTACAACTTTTATTATTATCATTGTTAGTATTTTTACTCCTTCAACTTTTAATGTTCGTTTTGTTACTGCTGTGGACGATTAATATTACTATTAGCATTAACAATATATTTATTAGCTTTTATTTGCAAGTTTTCTACTTAAAATTAGTACATATATTATTTGTAAATTTCCGTGATTGTGACAATTATTTTAGAATATATGAATTGATATGATTGATTAGTAGTGTTAAAAAAATTATCTATGAACATCTTTTGCCATTGTTCCTTTAGAAACAAACTTGGAGGTATGAACTAAAAGCTTTTCTAATTATCAATTAAAATGATTATCCAAAATAAGCAAGACCATTAAAAATGATAGTCGAGGCTTTTTCGTAAACCGTTGAAGCTACAATTTTTTTGCGTATGTGACATCACTTTGTGGCAAAAAACTAGAAAAACAAACTAGAAATAAGGTTTTATTTAAATTTAAAAAAAAACTTTTTTAAAGATATATGGAATATATTTTTATGGGATATATTCTAATTAAGACAAAAACTATTTAT